TAGAGGCTGCTGTTTGGGTTAATTAGTGGGAACCTGGTTTTTCTGTGACACTGAGAACCTGTGGAGCCCTTCTCTTAGCCTGGTGGGATATAATGAACGGCGTAGATCTGTCGGCTGTGTTGTCAGCTCAGGCGGTGGGCAGCACTTTTGCTCTAGTGAAAGACAAGTTTTAAAGCCCAGATAATGGTTGGCAAGTGCAGCTCTCATGTGGCGAGGCTCAGCATCATGGGTTCAAGTGGGAATAGGTTCGATTTTGTTATATAAGCGATCATGCCTTTGTCTGCACCGAGTTCCATTTTCATTCTGACTTATTCATAGTCATACATCAAGAAGCATTTCCCAGTGTGAAAGGCAGGGAGACATCTCGAGCATCTCACCAGCCAAGAAGAATTAATGAATTTATTAAGTGAAAGTGTTTTCAAACGAGAATTAACTTCCTGTCGATTTAATTGACAACAGGGGCATGACCCATTTGCTTCCTGTCTCGCATTGATTCCCTCTCATTTCCAAACTGATTGAACTTGAACTTGGTCAGTAGCCCTTAGAGTTAGATAACAATGCACTAAGGCAGCCTTTATGGTATGAGACACACTGGGCAGTAGCATTTTTTGATGCTCCGAGTGACTGCTGTAGTGTAAAGAGGAAGTCTGCATAGGGTGATTAGGAGAGGAGATGCATGGGTCAAATAAACTCCAGACTTTCAGCCAAACTTGTTGTTGCCATGGGTAACAGTATCACGTCAATGTGTCAAAAAGTCTGAAATATTGTGACTGTCACAATATGAATTTTTCACATCAGATTAAAAATTATGCTGGTATTATTGTGAATTGTATGTGTAGTATACTGTGCTAGGGACGAAATGTCAAGTCATGTATGTGATGTATGTCACATGACATAACATCACGCTACTAAAAAACATACTTATTTTAAACCAAACCAAAACCAAACCAAAGGGACTAAACCTGAAAACAAAGTTTTCTAACCTATCCTGGAATGCAAAATCTGTTGCCTCACTGTGACTGGGCACATTTTTATTTAAGCTAACATGAAATTGCTGTGGCATTAAAAACTGAGTCGTCAGCCTGCTGTGACTAAAAGAATGCGAGTGATTGCAAAAATCTTTTAATGACACTGACAAAGATACCTGATCAGCCTAATGAGGTGAGCGTTGGCAGCCAGTGTGTAAGGTAATAAAAAAAAAAGTATTTGACAAAATGGTGTAAACGCTTCAACTTGCTGACCACTCTGTCCCTAGCATAGCCAGTTTCGTCCGCATTTCACCACAGCTAAAAGTCACCTTGCCAGCTCTGGTATGCCCGCACCGTCATGTTCACACTTGCAGGGGATTAAGATGGTTCTCCTCCACAGTCCCTGAAGGAAATGCTCAGAAGCAAAACATGTAAACAGCATATGCAAAAAAGTGACCAGAGCCAAGATTTGAATCCAGACTGTCTTGCTGTGAAGCAGCAGTGCTCACACTGAGCCCCCACACACAGATGCTGTATCCTACTCCTCGACTCAGTGAGGCCATAGTTCTTCCCTGCCAACCTGCACTGTATAACCCTCCACTGGCCCCACAGTGTTCAGTGGAAATAGTCTTGGTTAAGTGGTCTGCCGGATAGCGTGACTGCCATGTGCCGAATGAAAAGCTGGAAAGATATGCATCAAGTGCTGAATAAAGCAATAAGGCCCAGTGGAATGTGAAACAATGGCTCCTTCCAGGTGGTGGTGTGCTGTGAGAGGAGTGGGGGGAATTGGATGAGACAGAAAGCTCGTCTGGCTGCCTGGCTGTTAGCATTGGACTTGGCAGCTCTCTGCCAGGGAAACGCTGACAGGCAGGCGCGCCTGTCACAGCACATAAGTGCCTCCTTGCACAACCCCAGGCCCTGTAGGGCAGGTCAGCTCTCCTGCACTCAGCTCACAGGCCCAGTCCCACACTCAAGCCACGGATCGTAGTGTGAAGCGAGGGCATGTGTCACAGCCTTTATATGGTTGAAAGACTCTGAAAGGTGAGAGAAAGGCCACTGGTGACATTGTAGAGATGTGTTGTTCACATTGGTAGTTTTACTTCTCACGTACTCTGCTTAATTAGAGGGAGCTCTGTGATTAAACTGTACTCGAGGTAGAGTATTTCTGCGAGCGGAGACATAATTAATAGTAGCAGTTGGTCACTAAAAACAACTGAAGTGCACAGATTTCAGCTAAGTTATTTTTTACATGCTTCATAAATCAATTATCCTCTTCAAATATAATTTACTGACAGTGTCTAAACAATAAAATTACTTATTACTTTCATATCAGTTGGAAATGAGTTTGTCTCAAAATCTGTCTCGTATTATTTTTTAATTACATTTTATTTGATTTATTATCTCCGCCAGGCATAGGGGCTCAGGCGTGTGCGTATCCATCTGTCCACAATTAGTCTCGCAAACTACTGGACCAATCGGCATATAATTTTGTGTTCACATTCATGACTACATGCTCTAGGATCCTTAGTGGTTGCAGTGATTCATAATTGCTGAAAAACCTGTTTTAATGACTGTTTCAAACTGTCATCAACTGCTAACATCTCACTCCTCTAAACCAGCAGGTAGGGGCCGCAAATTTTATTTAAATTGGCTCAACTTAAAACAACACGCCTTACCGTCTGTTGCATGCTGCATTTTGGCCTTTGTTATGCATTCGTCAGCAATCCAAAGAAAAGTTTGGTCTCAGTAGAACAGGAGCATCTGCTGATTAATTCCATACCTGATATGTTAGGGTCCACTAAAGTTAGGTAGGAAACTAGATGAATAAATCACAGTTTTTGTTATCTTTTCTGCCATCTTGACTGTAAGGGAGCTGGAAAGGACAATTTCACCAGGTGCGGCCCTCCACAGTCAGGGTACAACCCAGTTTTGTTCCATTTGCTGCAGTGCGTCATACCACACCGGGAGTGGTGGAGCATTTTGCATGCACAATTATATAGACGTGCAGATTTTGTTGATTTGGTCATTTTTGCTTGTTATTTGTGCTCGTGCTAAGCAAGTAAGCAGGCTACATAGTTAAATATTTTTTTTGTTCTGTTTTTATTGTGTTTATTGTTGTTATTTTCTACTATATTGTGCTGTAGCATCCAAAGTCCACTTATGAGCGACATGGATCATAGATCTGTGTAGCATAGCTGTGTTTTAGTTATCAAAAACTCATCATCACTCATCATCATAATTACATTGAATCTGTATTTCATACACAGTGTCTGTTAGCAGAACTCAATCTGCTCTGTGTAATGCATTAGGCAAAAATAGAGGCATGTGTTTTTATTAGTTTCTGGGATGCTTTGGAAACATGAATTACAAGAACTGTCTAGAGTGGCTGCGGTCAGATTGGGAGCATGTGGCCAGCTGGCGGGGATCTACACTCTACTGAGTAACCTTTTTTTAAATTTATTTTATTACAGTTTTTAGAACCAAACTTTTTAGCCTTACTTTGGTATTTTATTGTACAAACTTACTGAGGATAAGGAACATGGAAATGTCAAAAGATGATATTTCATCAGCCTCCATTTATAAAAAGGAAACAGAACAGGCTTTCTATATTTTTTTTACCAGGAAAAGTGGATAGAAAAAACTACAAAGAAAAAAAGTTCGGAAAAGTGCAGCCTCCCCGCTGCTATAAAAGCCACGCAGTTTCACATTGCTTTAATAATTTAGCATTTTAAACCCCAATAGATGTAATTACAGTAAATGCCATCTACAGAGAGTGACGCAGGAACTCAGCATCTGTATGGGGAAGATCACCTCCTGCATGCTAAAACCTTATCACAGTGTGTTGAAGTGAACTCTATACAAGAAGACCAGGTTTGAAAATCTATTCAAAATGATCTGTAACCCATTTTTAGCCTACAATATAAGTGATGAGTAATATGTGCTGAACACACAATCTGTCTGCCGTATGTATCCAGAACAGCACTCTGAACTTGTGTGTGCGTGTGTGTGTCTGGCAGTCTGTTCCCAGCCAGGGAATATCTGCGTTTGTTTAGATTACCTTACCGTGACCTTTGCTGTTGGAGCTGGATGTTTGCATAGCCCGGCCCCGTTGCTTTGACTAGCACAGTGTAAGCAACAGCACTCTGAGCTTGTTTTCCTCATGAAGGTATCTGAAGACTTTTGTTTATTTTAAATTAATTCCATGACATTTAAAAAAAAATGTGTTCTGCTATTTCAGCTCATGGCTTCTTGCTACAGAGCAGGGGAACATTTTTACATATGCTGTTTCTTGGTTAATAGAAGGCAAAGCATTTGACAAGAAGAAGAAATAATAAAATACAATCCTTGTAATAAAAGATAAAACAAAAAAAATCTGAAAGAGACAAGACAGCAAATTTTAATTTTCCCATGGTTGTGAGGGGCCCTTCAGCCACACTGTAAGTCTGATTTAATGCTCTAAATCCCTCTCCTTGTGTTTGCTGAATTTCATTGCCCTAGTATTGATCTTTTTTGACATGTATTGAAAATCAAAGTCACCTAGAAGTGGGAACTCTGATTTCCCGCAATAAATTTGTCTTTATAAGTCTCCAGATGCTTTGATTTCGACGCTGCAGAGGGGTATCGATTCAGGTGTGGATCTTGACATGGCAAAAGAAAGACGGAGCACTCTGGCCTCATCTCCTGGCCTTCAGCCACACTTGCATATCTCGGACACATTTTCTAACGAGCTGTCTGGCTAAATGTTTTTCAGCCAGAGAAATTACAGTATCAATTGAAAGTGACTTTATAGAGTTAGAGGAGAAAGCAGATGGGAAGAGGGAAGATGAAAAGAGACTCAAAGAAAGATGAATTGAGATTATCCTTTTGAGATGATATACTTATAACAGACATGGATTGTATTTATGGCTCGATTGCTTTTTCAGGGGAATGAGGAAAGTGCCATTTCAGTGTAATACAGACATTCATTCTGCTTTGTATGCCTGAAATCTGAAAGCCTTTTCTTCTTCTTTTTGTCTTTGTTCTTCCCTACAGATGTGCTGTGGACTGCCGATGATTTCTCCTCCTCCTCCGGTTCAAATTCAATGGCAGACAAAGACTGCACTTCTCCCTGCTCTTGTTATCACTGAGCTCAGAAAGACAGATCTGGTCCACAGCTAAACCATTGTCTGCTTTTCTGCTCCTGTCTCATTGCCAATCTCTGCTCTTCATACCATCACCATGGCTTGTTTCCTGGCATCTGCCTTTCTTCTGGTTCTCCAGACATACGCTGCACCACCTGAGCTTGTCCAGGCCGGATTTGGCATTACACTGGACCCCATGGACCTCGATGCTGGGCTTGTCAATGTCTCTGGAGATATAACCTCATCTCCACCCCTAGGGACTAGTAAAAGAGCCCCACACAGTATCATTATTGGGGTACGCAAGGGGGGCACACGAGCACTGTTGGAGATGCTGGACATACACCCTGAGGTTGCTGCTGCTGCCACCGAGGTGCACTTCTTTGATTGGGATGAGAACTATGCCAAGGGCTTTGAGTGGTACCGTGAGTTGATGCCCTACTCATACCCTCACCAGATCACAGTGGAGAAAACTCCAGGTTACTTTACATCAGCTCTTGCACCAGAACGCATCTGTGCCATGAACTCATCCATAAAGCTGCTGCTGATCTTACGAGACCCATGCGAGCGGGTTATCTCCGACTACACCCAGGTGTACTTCAACCGGCTGGAGAACCACAAGCCAGTACAAGCCATTGAGAACCTCCTAGTGCGCAACGGAGCCCTGAATATCCGATACAAGGCCATTCAGAGGAGCCTGTACGACGTCCACATGCGCAATTGGCTGCGCCACTTCCCACTGGAGCAGATACACATCGTAGATGGGGATGCTCTGATCCGTGACCCCTTGCCAGAGCTTCAGAAGGTGGAGCGCTTCCTCAACTTGCCTCCAAGGATAGTATCCTCCAACTTCTACTTCAACCAGACCAAGGGGTTTTACTGTATCAGAAGTGATGGCCGAGAGCGCTGTCTGCATGAGTCTAAGGGACGTCCTCACCCGGCTGTCAACAGCACTGTCCTCCAGCAGCTCCGCTCTTACCTACGGGAACACAACCGAACCTTCTTCAGGCTGGTGAAGCGCACCTTCGACTGGCAATAAGGATCCCAGATCACAAATCGGACTCAAGGGAGCCACTACCTTGTCTGTGATGAGGACAAAAAGGGGCATAAAGCACTTTACAGAACTGACATTTAAAAACCCCTTTGAATAGCCTCTTAATAACTACTGTTGTGGTCTCTGGTTTCAGCAGAGCAGTTCTATATTTACACAATAAGGCAAAAAAAAAAAAGAAGAAAAACTGTAACTAGAGGCGTAAGATTAAATGGAAGAATCTCCAAGCTTAATAAGTCATTCTCTCTGTGCTGAAGGCGTTTAAGTGATCAAATTGCAGCGAAAACAAGTTTATGAAACTGATGAACTTTTTTTCCTCTCTCTTGTTTGATATTCTTGTTCTTGATAATAAATTGTTCTGCTTTCAAATGTAACAGAAAAGTGGCCTGTTTCTGTTTCTCTCCATTTTCATTTAGGCCATCAAAAACCTCTGAGCCCTCTCACCTGTGTTATTTAGGGAGTATACCAAGATAGGCAGAGGCATTAGAATAAGCCTTTGATTTGCTGTGGTGGAAGGTAGACATTAATGCAAGGAAATGGGTACCCTGGAGCAGCGCTTTAGTAGTACAGGAATCACTAATGGCTTTGGACATTGAAGGTAGCCTGTGCCTGCAGCTAAATCAGTCAAATCTCCATAGTCAGCAAGCTGAAATCCAGGGAGCTGCTGTTGCATTTTGCTGCTGCTCTCCTCAACAATTTGCTCAGGTGTTAAATGCAGTCATTAAATCATGTGCTGTAAAACATTTACAAATGATACCGTATCTGCTTTTTCCTGCCACATATTATCTTTTTCCTGAATCATACTTCACATGCAGTTTTCCCAGAAACATCTTGTCACCCCATACACAACAGATAGTCATGGGTCATGTTTCTTTCATTGATTAGGCTTTAAACAGCAGCCAAAGCTACAGCTCCACTGGGATCTGATATTCATGTGATCTCCCAGCTCTGTCTGCTGGAATAAGCACTATAACTCTCCCGAGGCATGTAGTCGTTGATGCTACATTGGATCTATATCCAGAACAGAACAGGGGAGGAGGGCATATAGCTGTGGGCTGCATAGAAAAATGCTGAATATTTATATGAATAACGTAGTACACTGGTGACCTGGGGTTTTAAATTATAATTAGACTGGAAAATTGTATGATTTTCATGTGTGTACACAAGTACTGTGTGATGGCAAAGGCAGTGCTAAATCCCCCAGAACTCTTCTTGCTCAGGGACTTTTCTCCCGTCTGCTCACCAGGGGGCACTTGGACTCCAGAGTAACTCATGAGGGAACAGCGTGAGGGAAATGTGTCTAGATGTGCTCTTTCTAGGATCCCCTCTGTCGGTGCACACACAGGTGAAGGGCCTGTGACAGTTACCTCCTGACCCTGGCCGCCGCCTGTCTGCTCTGGTACGTATCACCCAGCCGCTCATCTGGAAGAGAACGACGCGGCACTAGCAGCCTCATTTCACTGCCACATCAGACACACACACATATACACACACTTTACCAATCATTCCCAAGGTGTTACATTGGTGCAGCACAGTGTTTCCATTAAGCAGGTGGGCAGGAAGGACAAAAGGGCATGTTTTGCTTACAATATGAGAGCACACACTGAACAAATTCCCATTTATAGCCTTTATTTATTTGAGGCAAAGTTGACTGAGTATGCTTGCTGTTGTGCAGAAACACTGGGAGCTGCACAGTGCATCTGTAGCTGTCTAATGTTGGGCTCAGAGGAACTGCAGTCAGCAATGGGTTGTTTAAGGCTAAGGATTTTTTTTTATCAGCAAATCCCCTGAAGCCCATATCATTGCAACAAATGCAGTGATATGACTCCTTTATGTTTCTCTGTAGCTAAGCTTTAATACAGGATTCAAGCTGTGACTACAGCAGCTTTTTTGTAGGATAATCTGATGTTGGTTTGTTCATGGCATTGTTGATGATGATAAAATGCTAAAAATAATAATACTGTCATAGCAAATGTATCCTTGTTTTATTCCTAATGTGGTAAAAACACAGTGGGGATTTAGGTCTGTATTGTGTTATCCTTAAACAAGAGTCTACAGCAGGGATGCTCAACTTGCTTTGCTTGGGGGCCACTTTTGCAAAATAACAGGAGGCCAGGAGCCAGTTTCTGCACTTTGAGAACATTTGGGAATCCTCCTCTGGCCCTGTTTTATAAACAGGCTCTATTTTGATGTGTCTCTGTGCACCCCTGCACTTAAGTACAAAAAATAAATAAATAAATAAAAAAAAGAAAAAATCCCAGTGTAAATCAATTTACTCTCATGTGAATTAAAAAATGGTTGACAGCCACCCAGCACCCTATCACAGGCCAGAATGGGCCCACGGGCTGCAAGTTGAGTATTATTGGTCTACAGCAATGCCAGTGGCTCTGTCAGTATGTTTCCATGCACAGTTAAGTCGTGCTACGGTTATAGCTCGAATAGGCCATTTAATTGGACTACTGTCCTTGTCCCAGTATACAAGCATGGGCGGGAAATCGATTTATTGACTGAAGTATGTCCGACTCTGCTGCAATAGATGGTGATATGCCCCGTTTCAGCTTGTTAGTATTTTACCCTTTTCTGGTTGACCTATTATGCCATGTACCAAACAACCGACAAACAAGTTAGCTACAATTAGCTAGCAGCAAACTGGTACCATGGTGGACAACATTACAGCATTGTACCATCCATCTATCTGAAAATGCAATGGCTCTGGATTTAGATTTTGCCATGTTGTTACCAGCTTCTTCTTTTTCTGTTTCGCATTTAATGCTTTCAGTGACACACTGTGAAGAGGCAATCCTTATCCCGAAGTTACGGATCTGATTTGCCGACTTCCCTTAACTACCTTGATCTAACATGCCAGGGGCTGTTCACTTTGACACCGTGTCAAAGCCCGGGGTGGAGTCTGTGGAGCATGCGCCGAGCGCCTCAGCCAGTTTAGGTCTGATTGACTGTATACATGCAGGAGTAATTCGACTCCCAATCACATTTTCTGGATGTGTTAGTCCGACTTTGAGAAATTCAATTTGGTACAATTTGAGTCGCACTAACATGGTTACATGTATTTCAAAAGTCTGGTTTTAGTTGGACTAACACCATAAATCTATTTTCTCTAATGTCATGTAAATATACTGTGTGAGGCTGCACAGGGTGCCAGTGCTAAATGCTAACAGCATGCTAACATGCTTACAATGCTAAAAGGCTGATGTTTAGTGCGTATAATGTTTACAATGTTCAGTATTGGAGTTTAACAGGGCAGCATGCATTCGTTTAGTTTAGCTTAGCATGCTAAAATTAGCTAATTAGCACTAAAGACTGTACATCTGAGGCTGATGAATGGGGCCTGTATGTCATTTGCTGTTACAAGAGTAAACAATTCGACAAACTAAAATTTTGTTCCAATGATGGCACCATATGGAAAGTTAAGGGCGCACCAAAGCTGTAACAAGACGGGGGAATAAAATTTCTGCACCAAATTTTATGGTTAGCATCTAGCATCTAGCATCTCATCAAATTTAACTCAATAACACAAATGTCAACCTCATATTGGCACTGTAGGAGAAAAGTCACGGGATTCCCAGAGTCAGTTAAGATTCATCTTCTGGGGACCATACATGTCAGAATGTAAAAACTGTTATGGCAATCCATCCAAATCCTATTGAGATAATTTAGTTTAAAACCCGCAGTAGATCTTTGGGAACCAGTGGGTGGACAGTTCACCTACAGTACAGGCCAAAAGTTTGGACACACCTTCTCATTCAATGCGTTTTCTTTATTTTCATGACTATTTACATTGTAGATTCTCACTGAAGGCATCAAAACTATGAATGAACACATGTGGAGTTATGTACTTAACAAAAAAAGGTGAAATAACTGAAAACATGTTTTATATTCTAGTTTCTTCAAAATAGCCACCCTTTGCTCTGATTACTGCTTTGCACACTCTTGGCATTCTCTCCATGAGCTTCAAGAGGTAGTCACCTGAAATGGTTTCCACTTCACAGGTGTGCCTTATCAGGGTTAATTAGTGGAATTTCTTGCTTTATCAATGGGGTTGGGACCATCAGTTGTGTTGTGCAGAAGTCAGGTTAATACACAGCCGACAGCCCTATTGGACAACTGTTAAAATTCATATTATGGCAAGAACCAATCAGCTAACTAAAGAAAAACGAGTGGCCATCATTACTTTAAGAAATGAAGGTCAGTCAGTCCGGAAAATTGCAAAAACTTTAAATGTGTCCCCAAGTGGAGTCGCAAAAACCATCAAGCGCTACAACGAAACTGGCACACATGAGGACCGACCCAGGAAAGGAAGACCAAGAGTCACCTCTGCTTCTGAGGATAAGTTCATCCGAGTCACCAGCCTCAGAAATCGCAAGTTAACAGCAGCTCAGATCAGAGACCAGATGAATGCCACACAGAGTTCTAGCAGCAGACCCATCTCTAGAACAACTGTTAAGAGGAGACTGCGCCAATCAGGCCTTCATGGTCAAATAGCTGCTAGGAAACCACTGCTAAGGAGAGGCAACAAGCAGAAGAGATTTGTTTGGGCCAAGAAACACAAGGAATGGACATTAGACCAGTGGAAATCTGTGCTTTGGTCTGATGAGTCCAAATTTGAGATCTTTGGTTCCAACCGCCGTGTCTTTGTGAGACGCAGAAAAGGTGAACGGATGGATTCCACATGCCTGGTTCCCACTGTGAAGCATGGAGGAGGAGGTGTGATGGTGTGGGGGTGTTTTGCTGGTGACACTGTTGGGGATTTATTCAAAATTGAAGGCACACTGAACCAGCATGGCTACCACAGCATCCTGCAGCGACATGCCATCCCATCCGGTTTGCGTTTAGTTGGACGATCATTTATTTTTCAACAGGACAATGACCCCAAACACACCTCCAGGCTGTGTAAGGGCTATTTGACCAAGAAGGAGAGTGATGGAGTGCTGCGGCAGATGACCTGGCCTCCACAGTCACCGGACCTGAACCCAATCGAGATGGTTTGGGGTGAGCTGGACCGCAGAGTGAAGGCAAAGGGGCCAACAAGTGCTAAACACCTCTGGGAACTCCTTCAAGACTGTTGGAAAACCATTTCAGGTGACTACCTCTTGAAGCTCATGGAGAGAATGCCAAGAGTGTGCAAAGCAGTAATCAGAGCAAAGGGTGGCTATTTTGAAGAAACTAGAATATAAAACATGTTTTCAGTTATTTCACCTTTTTTTGTTAAGTACATAACTCCACATGTGTTCATTCATAGTTTTGATGCCTTCAGTGAGAATCTACAATGTAAATAGTCATGAAAATAAAGAAAACGCATTGAATGAGAAGGTGTGTCCAAACTTTTGGCCTGTACTGTATATTTCATGTATTTCAGGCCTCTGTGTGTAAAATAACAAATAAATACAAAAAAGAAATGTAATTGTAGAACA